TTTGGACAACCTGTTTTGGAACCACTTAGCCTGGGCGTGGTTTGCCAGTCTGGGGGATGTAAGAGGAAGATGTCAACAAACCAAACCTCCAGACTTCGTCGGTTCCAGACTTCGTCGACGGGCCCTGACTTGTTTGTCACGCAGCGACTCGAGGTGACTGGGCCCAAAGTGAAGAACATGGCTGGCCAGTGGATCGCAGGCATCTGTTCTACCCAAACACTCCCTCTATGCCATAGATGCCTACATTGACCCCTCAAACCACCCCAATGTCAGTATGACATACATGGAGTGTTTGGGAATGTTTGGGATATCCGGAACCAGTGTTTCGGTTGGTCTATGGCTTTAGTCTTTGTTCTCCACAAATCCAACGACACATTCATTGCCTTTTTCAGCGATGTGAAACGTGGACATGGTGGTGAAACCAGGTGAAACATGTCTGCAGTAGTTTGCCATGTTTCAGTAAAAAAACTGTTGTAGCTGTCGGGAATGGGGAACTCCCGTGGTTGCTCCGAGTGACCCGGCTCCCTGCTTTATATATAGGGAAGAACTGGATACCCCCGGCTCCTTAGCTCCTCCTGAGCAACAGCCAGTGTATTAATGTTGTTTAGACTACATCTATGAAGTGATTGAGTGCCATCTATGAAGTGATTAAGTTGATCGACTTTCGCACGAACTGAGTGTACGGTTCATCAACACCTTGGGTACCCTTGAACCCTACTAAGGACCATCCAATAGATCGGGGTTTACCATGTTATACCTCCCCTAAAGACTCAAACAGCTCAATTCCTGGGGCTAAAAGTGGTCAGCCAGCAGCCAGCAGCTGTAATGCACCGCCCCTTGTTGATGTCACTTCATCCAAATCATTGGAAGCAACTCTCATAACCCCTCCCATTCCACGTCCTGGGCCACATCCGACGTCCTGGGGCTCGCACCGAGAGAATTGAGCCGCTCCAGCTTGCTCATCTTGCTGGCGCCAGATTGCACCGTGGAGTGCGTTTCACCTGGCCCGCAGGAACCGCGGTCCATGTTTCCAGAAACGGTATACCCATGTATACTTGGTGGTTGGCTTTTGCTTATAGGACTTATAAATTTCTTATGGAATGCATAACACTTATAGAGACTTAAATGATAAGTTACAAGTTACAAAAACCGTGGTGTTGAAACTACAGTATTTCATCACTTAGCTAAGCTCAACTTTTAAGTTTTGTCACTTCTTAAGGACTTTCCATAAGCCAAAACCATCCACCAACTACCCGCATACTTTAACTCTGCTTGAACTTCCAAAGGCCCGCATACTTTAACGCCCGCGCAGAGAGCGCGCAGGCCCGAACTCCAGAAACACGCCTATAGGCTTCACGCAGCCGATATGTGCCAGGATGCCCAAAAAGGATCAGAACCATCCCCTAGGGCTCCAAGTACCTCCTCAGAAGGTAAGGTACTTGGAGCCCGGAGCCCTAGGGATCCTATAGTCGCACCTCCAAAAACAACCTCTCACAGGGCCGTCCTAACTCCGATTTTCCATGTCCCGATTCCATGTGACGATTCCGCGTGGTGTTTCCCGCGTGACAAGTCACGCGTGACGCTTCCGGCGCCTCGCGAGAGGGACTGTTCGGACTGGCCATGGAGGCCAGGGATGGTCAGGGAATTGGCTTTAAACCTCGGTCGACGCTGCGTGTTCCACCGGCGTATATATCGGAATATGGTGGAACACGCAGGGGAAGGGCAAGAGGCCGAAGGTGGAAAGCGCCGGCAAAAATGGGCCAAACACTGATTTGTCTTCACATGTCAGTAGACCAGGCTCCTCCTCAAAATATTCATATGTGCACATGAATGTGTGCTGTTTTTTGTTCCATGCAAATTGCAAGTAATTATAATCTTTGGGCAAGGTCATGTCACGATGAATAAACATGAACTCTTTTTCATGAATCAATTCCCCCCAACTGACTGCCAACGCTGCCCTTGGGCCAACTCTACCAAAAAAAGACTCCGACTCGGTGACCAAAAGAGGCTGCGACCTCCGATTGACTCCTCGAAGCAGCTGATATGAGTCATTCCCGAACGAACAAAGTCTTTCAAAGACTTGACATTTCTGAAGAAGTTCCAACAAAAACCTTTCACATTCCACCCAGCAGTCCCATTTTGCAGTATTTGTGCATTCCAATCCAAGTGGATGTGAATTCGGGGCACCGCGATTCCACCCGTTCGTTCGGTAGCCCGACCGCAGGTGCAGCTGTGCTATTTTTGGAATATGCAGAATCCACCGGTTTAGTTGCCTTGGGGTGTAAGGGGGATACAAGCATTTCTGTTGTTTCATGTACATTCGGACATCCACCTGCCGGGTAGTTTGTTGATCAATCGACCTCCCAGACGTTTTACATGGTAAAATACCATCCAAAATCATCGGGAGGGCATAGTTATACATCATATTGTAAGATTGTAAGCCTTTGGAATCAGAAGACTGCTCCGAATCCACCGTCTCATCTCTTCAATCAACACTCTCCGGGCGTTTTCAAACGCAGAATGCATTCATCGCTGGCTCATGCGCATCATACGACACATACGCATCATACGTGCGCTTAAGATGCTGTTGACCGGTTAATAGGATCTTATATAGGTATAATATGCTATATAATATACGCTAAGCCCATGTAACCCCCATTGATTTGGTCAAACTATTAACCATTCAGTGTTTCAGTTCAACAGTTCAACATTGTTGAGAGGATTTCGAATGCCAGGCATTCCACCAGTTTAAACGATATTAAACGCTTCTCTACCAAAAACGGTTGGCCCACCGAACATCGCTACAACATCTACAACAGCGAGAGCACGGACTCTCTCGGACTCTCTCAAAGCGGCTGGAAGGTCGGGTGTGGTGAGGCCGTCGGCGATAGGGAGGCAGCCGAGGCCATTGGACTTAAGGACCTTGCCAGTCTCAACTCCTCAGATTGGTCCAACTCGAGCTCTTTGTGCAATCAAGAAAAACACAAACAAAAACAACATATCACCCAATTCGGGGATTCCGCCCCTTTCCTCTTTCCTCTTGCGCGGGCCTTTTCTCCTTCGCGGGCTGCGCAACGAATGTACATTTTCACGTGGTGAACATCCACATCACCCGATCCACACATATCAAAACCAAGACTCTGGCACGCCCTCCGTGAGGATGGAGGCTTCCACAGCTGCGCCGCAGTCGACATCGGCACTGTCGACGGGAGAAACGAGGGTGTCGTCTGCAGCGCCGGAGATACCTGAGAGTGGGAAGTTCTGGCACTGGTGGAGCTGATACGATGGTCAGTCCGACGGACCTGCCGAGTTGGTAATTTCCCTCTTTCGGGACAAGCTTTAAAGGAACGTCAAAATGCCATGGACGTTTGGGATCTTTTCTGGATTTGTTGGCAGGTCCTTGCCAACATACATGTTCAAACATTCTCAAGCGGACAACAAAGGCATTGGCATTCTCACGCATTTGCCTTTGACACAAAATGGAGGAAACACGTTTCTCCCCCCAAGGATCTCACGTGAGTCCCAGCATCCCAAAATGAGGGGATTTGGGGTCCACAAAATGGACCCAATCACAGTAATAAATGCAGTAGGTTTGGTTGGTCTATGAACAAGTCCATGTCCACCCAGCAAGGCAAAAGGTGTTCCATCCATGATCCATCCCAACAGCCAGTCCACCCGCAAGTACCTGACCCTGTCAGGGCCTGTGGATTCTGTGGGAGGGGATGGTTGCCCTGCCAAAAGCGAACCTGGATGCTGCAGGGCCCTCCAGGTTGGATCCTTTTCTGGAGTTCTGAAGACATCACCGTGGACCCATCCATTCCAAATCCATCCAACCTCAAAGCTGGTTCCGTAGGCTTTCCCATTCTTCACTCCTTTGGCACGAATCTGATCTCAACTGGGTGGTCCTTTTAGCCTGGTCACTCTCAGTGAGCTTTTCACCGCCGACTGCAAGCTTCTCCGTGACAATGAGCACGGGTGGGGCCTCTGTGTCCTGAATGAGGCGTGAGGCCTTCAGTTATTGGGTGAAGAGAGAACTCGCCAGGTCGCCAGGTGTTGGTTTTTCCCCTTTTGCAGTCCAATTCCAACTTCAACCATCTCCGGCTCCGGGTTTACCCTCCGACTCCAAGGGCCAGTTCGTCGGGGGGATGTAGAAGCGACTCGCCGGCTGCCGAGAACGAGTGGTACGTACACTCCGAGCGATCGCTACCGTTACGCCGAGGAGCACAGTTGAGGTGCAAAGACCAGTAGCCCTAGCTGTTGCTAGCAGCCTGACGCTGAACAAATGTTGGGCGGTCTTAGCGGTCTATTGTTTCTCAAACCTAAATCGACAGCGCCCTCGAGCGCCGAGGACTTGATTTGTCTGCTCGGAGCCTTTTTGGACAGGTCTGCCAGCCTTTATGGCTGCCGCCTAAAGCGGCCGGCCACGTCTGGCGGACGCTGCCGCCCTGGTTCGGGCCGAGCAATTGCGGCGAGAGCGAGCAAAGGGTAAGACCTTTGGACTTACCGTGGTGGAGAAGCAAAGCCCGTTTCAGAAAGGCGGGTTCACGGTGGGTCCCTTAATTTTTACTGGGTAGGTGTTGGTCAAATCATGCTCAGGGTGTCTCAGTTGCTATGGCAAGTCGGAACACGTGGAGACCGATTTGAATTGCATCTGGACTATCTGGGCCATTGCATGTCCTGGAATCTCTCTAAGTCAACAAGGGAGGTGTATTGAACAAGGGATGTGCATTGTATTTCATGACTTATTGAAGTAGTCATGGAAGTGGAAAACCGCCTATTGTATAGTAGAGGAAAATGGTCGCCCAAGGGGACATCTTCCACTTCCATGATATTTCAGGGAGTGCATTTTGATTTCCAAACGGGACCATTTCTTGGCTTTACATGTCCAGCATTGTATATGTCATAGGTATATACAGTATACGATGCACAAATATGGAGACATCAATATTCATCCAACACCAGCACACCCGGGAAAACGACTTCGACAAATCCGCCATCACCTCTGCAACGGGAGACGTCTGCTCCTCTCGCTGATTCCGGGTGTGACTGTCGCTGCGTGTGATTCGCCAAAAAAGGACGCCCCACTTTCGTAGAGACGAGTTGTGAACTCTGTAGCAGCATGTACCAGTGGTCCTCCAAACTATTAAACTATGAAAAATAAAGGTTTTCCCATGTTTTCATTCCGTAAACCATGTTTTTTGCTCAGGCCATGGCGGCCATTGGAGACTGGTTTGGCAAGGCAAACAGGTCCCACACGGAACTGCATTGAATGCGTTACGAGGCACCTCGACATACACTGCATGTTAATTATGCTGTGAACAAGAACCTTTGTCGTTGGAGTGGCCAGTGCAGCCCTGCAGGACACCCCCCAAACACAAACATCTTCATTCTCAAACTGTATGGGAATCCACCATTGCTCTTGAGCGATCTGAAACACGCCAGATTGCTGCTGGTACGTAGGCAGCGGAATGCGTCGACTTAAGATGCCACCACTGATGTCACCCTATCGACGTATGAGAATCAGACTTTCAGCAGGATGATCCATTTGCCGTTTGATCCCCAGAATGCATGCTTATGCTTAACCGGAGAACCTCCGATTTGATTGAAGAGAACTATGAAGAGAAAAGCTCCAACCTTTGTTCCACCAGATCCTGGTCCAGATCTTCGTGAGTCCAACCGCTTCGTCTGAAGGGTGACACAGCCGACCCCCCAACAAGGCTCCTGGGCTGCCCACTCTTCCGGAGACTGCGGGTCCGGCTCCTGCGTGGAAATCACTGTCAGGATGACATGGCATGTCCAAGTACCTGTGGGACCTGTGAACTGCAAGAAACCCACAGCAAACAACAACTGCAAACATGTCAGTTCCGCCCCAACAACAGACATATAGGTTAAGATGTATGTTCACAAACCAACGTGAAGTCCTGACTTGAGAAGGTTGCAATCTTCACTCGCTCCCCCAACCATTTCCAGGGTCGCTTTGGCTGGAGCTTCGTCTCCGGTCCGCACCTCTTCCTCCGGGTCGACGAGTTGAAAGGATGGATCTGCTGAAACCTGCCGTCGCACCGGTCCAACTCTCCATCGGAAAGAGGCGGTGGGCGCGGTCGGATGCGCTCGGCGCGGTGCGGTAGAGTAGAGTAGAGCAGGTGAGGTCTGAGACTCGATGCCGGACTCGGCATGACGAGGGTCGGCTTTCACGGTTCATTCCGAAAGCAACACCCAAAGAACCCCAACGACCTATAATTAGACTAGGCTTTAGGTTGGTCATGTCCACCGTGTTTTTACACCGGTTCACACCTTGTAGAGTTGTTTGTTCTGACCGTGGTGCAGTTTCCTCAGGACGCCTCTTCTTTGCGGCACTTCTCTCACTTCTTTTCCATTTCTTAGCGGTACGAGGCACGACCTCAAAGCACGCAGCAGCAGCGTCGTCGTCAACAGCCACCGGTTCACTCTATGATGTTTGACCTTGGGAAGAGTATATAAAACTAGAAGGGTCAGCTCCCGGTACCACATATATATATATACATATGCCACTATGAATTGGTTGTCCCTGATAATACACATAAAAGCTTCTCACTGTAAGTGAGTCTTTGCTCAAAAGCATCCAGGTCCCTCAGGTCTCTCTGTGTTTTTTTTGCAGCTGTGGGATCAAAATGTCATCTTCTGATCCTCCTTCTGTGCACCACCGCGTGGATGTGCATACAAGGAAGGAGATCTTCAGCCAGTTTAACAAGATTTTCCTTTTGTGTTGATTTTCCTTTTGTGGAAGAATGTCAGGTTAGGTTGCGGTGGCTATCCTGCTCTGCCCCAACTCAGGGTGGTTTTCCAGGAAGCTGTGGCGGTGACTGAACATAACGTTCCCATCCACAAGATCTTTCGGGTTACGTGACTTGACAATCTGGCAGTGATGAACGTTAGTCAGTCTGTGTGTGTAACTCTTGTCTGTTGCAAGAGGGATTGAACTCTCAAGGCACTTTGCTTTGGCACCTACAACCTTCTTGCAGCAGCAGTATGATCATTTGCCACGAACGACTGGACCTGAATCTGGTGAGGGAAGGAGCCGCAGCAGGAGTCCTCCAGGCCCATGGAAGATTTGGTCCTGGTGTTTTTTGAATACCACATAGAAACTAAATCCAGATATACCTGACTTTCAGGCCTATCTTTGGTTCTTCGATTCCAGATTTGGACTGGAGAGTGCGAGATTTTTGGTGGCACAATACTTTTAATTTTGACATTCTTGTGAATGCTTCAAAGGCTTCTCAGTAGGAGTGACTGATTCTGGGTCATCTTGTGGTCTTGTGGCCAAGGAAAGGGATGACTATGTTCTCAACCCAAAGTCTGATCACCTTGCAACTTCCACTTTGCAGAATGCTCTTTGGCAAATGTCTCAAACCACTTAATGTGTGCTTGCACCGCGTGCAAATCCCCAGCTGAGGCTCAATCAATCCTGAGCAAGTGGGATGGAACCTCTGCAAGTGCTGGCCGCACATTGGAGGATCTCTTCAACCTTGTTGAAAAACCTGCACTGGTGGCAAAGGCATGCTCAATGTTGCACCCGCGCCAATAGCCACTTTGATGTGAACATTGTGTCATTTGGTTTGTTGATGTTTGTTGAACATGTCTGGTCTAAATGTTTTGCAAGGCTTCTTCTCTTGGAGATGTCAGGCAGGCAGATATGCTCCCCGGCTGCAAGAGAGATTGGCTGCAAAGGAGCATGCAATTGCAGCCTGAGTAAACTTCTGCCCTTGCGCGGACCTTTATGCACAAGCAGGGAACCCCTGCCAGGGGTGAACCATGCAATGTGATATGGCATCATTTTAGAAAACACTCCAGGAAGTATAGTAGGCATTTGATCTTTATAGTTTGCACAGCCTGCAACTATGCAGCCATGCCGCTCACGATCCAGATCACCTGTGCTTAAGCGGTGCTCCATGAGCTCTGACAACTCTGAGTCAGATGACTCAGATTCTTCTAGCTCCACTGCTGAATCAGGGTCAGTGCTTGCCCGCGCAAGAAAGGGAATGACACTAAGAGCCATTGAGTTTACACTAAGAGTCATTTGTGCTTTTGCAAAGTGAAAGGAAGCAACCTGATATACCTCACGCCAAGGAAGAAACACTTCAGAGATCATCCAGCGCTCACATCGCAACAACGGCTTCATGTATCTGGATGGGGGTTGGGCATGGTGGCCAGGGGCCGCAACTAGCCTGCAACAGACGATGATAGATGGTAGATGGTAGAAGTTGTTTCCTGACCCTTTGTTTGGTGTTGAGGTGTGGCAGACTTTCTTGGTGGCTTAGTCATGCCCCTGGCTCTTATGTGCGATTGTGCCCTGACTGGCATTTCTGTGCTTACCAGCTGTAAGTATTGACCTTGCCTGAAGATCCCTAGCCAGTCCATCCTCTTTTTGATGTCTGAGGTTCAGGATTGTCTGGATCGTGGTGGGCGTTGAAAGAGATCACTGGCGATAGGTGCAAACTTCTCTCCCACACAGAGAAGGGGGAAGCAGCATTGAAATTTTTGCTGGCCAATTCAAAACCTGAGAAGAAACATGTCAAGATATGGCTGTTTGGTATCCAAGTGTCTCACATGGCTCACCATCTCTGGCTGAAGCACAGCTAAGGATCTTTGTTGACATGCTGGACAGACCTGCTAAAGACCTACCGCAGAACGTGAGTGTGTACACAAGTGGCTTTCCTTGTCAGCCGTTCAGCCTCTTGAACAATGGTTCTGCACTTTTGGAAGATCCCAGGGCAGCAGTATTTTTTGCAACCATGAAAACTGTCTACCGATGCTCTCCCCTCATTGGGGTGCTGGAGAATGTGCTGGGATTGACCCGGTGCTGGCCACAGGTGCAGGAACAGCTTGATAAGCTGACCAACTACTATTACTGCAAGATTATCATTGATCCATATGATTTGGGCGATCCAGTCAGGAGGCGGCGCTATTACATCCTGCTGATCAACAAGAGCCTCGAAAAGATCTATTTTTGAGAAGGTGTGTAGAAACTTAGGGCAACTATTCTTGAGTTGGCTGTCTTTGCAGAAACTCAGGAAAGTTGCAGCCGATGGGATTCAGAGCAACGAGGGCTTGCAGAAGATTGCCAGTGAAGTTTATGCTCGCCTCAACCCGAAACACAGAAGAGAACCGCCACTGGGCTCATCAAGGTTGACTTGTTGAAATGGTTGTGGTTTGTGTTACCATCAAGGTTGAAACGGTTGTTCTTCGGTGCTCAGGTCCAAGCTCTTGTTTTGCAACAGCCATGCCGCAGTGAAGGAGGAGGAGGACATCATGAAACAGCGCAAGCAGAAGCCTCATGAGTTTGACTTGATGTGGACCAAGCAGCCAAAGAACAAGACTCCAAAGTGGTTGAAGAAACATTGGGACATGATGCAGGAATTGGAGGCAAGTCCAATGAGACTTGTGCAACTCTAAGTGTTATCATCTTTCTTTCTTTCTTGCACTACTCAGCATTGCTTCTGGCTGTCTGTTTCCCTGAAGGTTGATCCTTGCCACCTGAAGCCTGTCAAAGCAGCGCGCAAGCTCAACTTGAGCCAGCGTGCCCAGCGCGCCCTAGATATTTTCTACACAAGTGGGCAGTTCACAAACCATTGCGTTGACACGTCTCAACATATTGACCGCATGACATCTGGTGATGGAGGGAAGATCCCATGTGTCACACCAAAGGGCTCTTGTTGGTACATGCCTTTGATGCGGTATATTACAGGCGAGGCCACACACAGCAGTTTGAACAGATTTGAAAAGTCTACACCCCAGGTCTTTTTCTTCCTTGATGCTTCAAATGCGTGCAGGCATGGAGAAACTTATTCTCCAATCTGTGCCGGTGCACAAGCTGGACCTTCGCCACTTGAGCACCACTGCCACTTGGATAGCAACCCAAAGTCAGAGTCAACTTAGTTGAGCAACCTTTTCAACACCAGCATGAACACTAGCTATCCCTGAGGAGCTCCATGATCTGGCTGGGAATGCATATAATTGCAAAGCGATTGGAGCTGCTTATGTGTGTGCTATCGCTTGCTGCGATCTTGCCAAATTCAATGCCGCGGTCCGGAAGCGCGGATGAGCGACTGAATCACCTTGGAACAGCTAAAGGGTAAAAATTGTTTACTGTAATTGCATCAGCCAGATCTGAGCAGTGTGAACCAGTGAAACGTGGAACGTTCTGCACTCATGTTCTGGTACTTGCATACCTTGGAAGGCAGTCAACAAGTGTTCAATGTTTTGAATGTATTGTGAGAAAAACAATCATGCACATGCAACATGCACCTATTGAATCCAATCATCAAACAAAGCAAAGCAGGATGTTAACATTGACTTTCATCTTTCAATCCCTCGAGAGAACAAAACACATAGCATGTAAATCAAGTCCACAGCGAACATTCAAAAGCTCCGTTCAGTTTGTAAACTGCCATGTTGATGCCCTACAACGCTTCATCATCATCCTCAGATTGTGATTGTGCATCCTCAGATTCTGATACACCTTCAGACTCTGAATCTGAGCAAAGCAGCAGATCAAGCTCATCAAGACCTGTCCCAAAGCTTGAAGCCGTTCGAAACCTGAGTTTGAATCTTCTGTGCGCTCTGGAAACAGAAGATCACCAAGCCAGTGACAATCTCGCTAGCAAAAACGGAAAGGACAAAGAAAGAATCTTAGCCCAGCATTGCTTTTGCCAAACTCTTAGAGCATAAACTCATAATATAACACACACACCTTGACCACAAAACCAAGGAATTCGGGAAGCCCTCAAAAGACCATGCTGCGCCCAGCGCTGCAAAAGAAGACTTAGCCTAGGAATGGTTCTTTCTTGCTGTGTTGCCTTTTGGTCGGTCAAGATTGTTTGCTACTTGGATCAAACCACTTGAAACCATTCGTGACTTTGGACACCGAACCCCTTTCTTGGACCTTCGTTTGTCACTCTCAGGCTGTGGAGCTTGCAGTCTTCTGGCCACGAGACTTGGAAAGAAGAACAGGGGGATGATGATGATGGAAGTCCATCTTCATCCAACGGTGGTAGCGATTCCTCAGACGATGC